GCCATACAACTTTGGTAAGCTTACAAAAGTTGGGGAACCCTTTCAAACAGAGAATGTACAAGTGTGTTATAAATCTCAATAAAAATGTGTATGCATGCCTATCTGTACATCTTTGTGTAGTGTATGAACGCATTTAGACACTTATAGATGCTCTCAGTTTACTCAAACACTCCTAGAAATTAAGAATCCAAGATTAAAACTCCTACTCTACAGGAAGAATGATAAAAATAATGAATATCAGCTAGATAACAATAGTATCAAATCCGTTACAAATAAGGTATTTAGGCACTGAGGTTGTGGCAAAGTGGGAAGGCTATCCCCTGGAACGCCATCATCCCATAGAGGTGCCAGTTCATGCCCAGCAATTCCATTTCTGATCCAGGTCACTTCCAGCTTGGGAAAAGCAGTGGAAGATGGTGCAAGTGCATATACCCCTGATACACATAAGGAAAACCCAGATGGAGTTCCTAGTTTCAGCTTTGCTCAGTCCTGACCATTACAGGTACTTAGGTAGTGGTACAAGAACTCTCTCTCTGCTTCCCTCCCTCCCCGTCTCTTTGTATCTCTATATTTCAAATTATAAGTATATCTTTATGGAATAGAAAAAAAGAAGGAAGGAGGGAAGGAAGGAAGGGAGGGAGGGAGAGAGGGAGTCATCTAAGGAAATGTTAGAACAAGATAGCAAAGGAATATACTTGGCCCATAATACGAACAACCAAATCCTCATTACTACTTCCCGTTATAGGGAACATGTAGTTATTCTCTAAGCAAAGATAGGATGTATAAGGTTCTTGCTCCAAAGAACCTAATGCAGAGTCCCTGTCCAATGCTAGAACTGATTGTTATTCTGCCCATGATCCACACATAAAGCAGTCCTCATTCCTTAATTATATAAATATCTCCTTTCATCTCAAAAGGGTTTCTCTTGATCAGTAAATTATATGGTCACTGTAAATCTAGAAGCAAGGAGGAAAAAATTGGAAACAGAGCTTAATGAAATACAAGGTGACTGTTGTGCTCATTGAGAGAACAAACCAAGAATAAGCCACCAATCCTCTCTCTCACGAATGATAACACACGTGGGAATCAACATGTTTAATTATATAAATACCTGCAATCCCTAATAGTTGTGTAGCTTTAGTTTATTCTTCCTGAGAGTTTAACAGAAATAAAGGGCTTTTAAATCAGCGCAGTAAAGCTACCCTCACAAATATTTGTGTGATGTTGGTTAACTTTTCTAGTCTAATCTAGGAAGCCAATATAATCTGTGTTTCATTAATGTCATCATTGACAAAGGCTGCCCACCGTGTTTAAAGAATAATGTCTTCAGAAACATATACATGGAAAACAATTCATCTTAAATTCCCTTAACACATTATTTGAGTAGAATGTAAAAACTCTAAGTTATCTGCTGCCAACAGGCAGTCCCAAATGGCTGAGAACACTGTGCAAATAAACAATAGAGAAATTACCCATACAATAACAATGGACTCAGAGGTCCAGCAGAGCTGCACATAAAAACATCTACAGCATTAATTAACTCCCATTGCAAGATACATACAGGATCTTCTCCCACTATCTTGTCCAGAATCAAGACATTATAATCTTTCATTTAAATAAAAACGTTAAGTACAACCACTATCAACTGGTGGTGGGTCAGTGGGAGTGTTGCCTAAGGTAAAACTACAGAAGCAAAGGTGCCAAATGACAATGTACTCCCTCACGTCTTTCAACGAAGCAAGTTTAAGCTCCTATATTAAGAGCTATGTGATTTTCCTAGTTCCTCTCCATTATCTCTTTCATCACTAAAGTATTTCAAATGAAAATGAAGAAACACCTAGTTTAATACATGTCTAGAAGAAACAATTTGGGATTACGTTCTTTCAAAAGTCTTTACAACTGAAGTATATCTTATGCAGCACATCCTTTAGAAACACATGTTAAAAATAAGGAGAAAAATTCCCAGGTAGAAGATATAAATCTTAAGGAAAACCTATGTTGCTACAATTCAGTGGATTTTAGAATTTTTGTTACATTAAGTGTTGTCTTTCACATGGACAATCTTTTGATATGCTAAACAGTTTTAACTATATGTTCATCCAATCACCTTGTTGATGAAGAAAGAAAATGTGGGTTCTTCAACAGTTCTATGTCTTATTAAACAAAGGAAAATTGGAGGCAGGAACTTGCATAGCAGATGAGACTCTGCTTGAATCACCTGTGTCCCTGTCAGAATGCTTGAGTTCAAGTACAAATTTCACTTTGACTTACAGCTTCGTACAAATGTGTAGGCTGACAGGAAGCAGGTGCCTGTTAAGTGCTGGCGTCTGAGTCTCTCCCCCAAGATCCCTGAACTGGGAGCTCCTGATGTCAACCGGGCACTGAAGAAGCAAGCCCTCAGATAACAGACACAAATCTTCTCTCATTGCTTCTCATTTCTCTCCTCCCTCCCTGGCCTCCACACTCTCTCCTTTTAAATAAATAAAATAAATCTTTTTAATTTAAAAGGTAAAATCTCTTGACATTAAAAAGAAAACTACAGAGACAGGAACTTGATTCAGCTATCCCTTAAGTTGCCTTCCAAACCTAATACCCTAGAGAAAAAGTCAATCGTATCCACGTGAAACAACTGCTTTGCTTATGTGAAATAAACTAGTCAACAATTCAAATTACTTGAGGCCTAAAATACTATAAAATTTCTAGCTCAATTGAGCCTTCAACTCTCTAAATGATTAGAATATTTGAAAATAAAATGCTTACATTTACAATATATACAACATAAATATCCTTGCTCCAGTTTTTGTATTAAATTATCTATACTGGGACACAGGAGATCGTAATATATTGCTCTTCTACACCTTACAGCACTTAGCACATTGATGGAGGAATAAATGCCAGTCAATGGTGCTTTTTCGCTCCAACCTAATAATACCATGTAGCAGAAATCTCACTGCAACTCCAGAAAGGTGTCCTTGGACAAGTACACTTCACTTATACAACACAACATGAGAGAAATAAATAAACTATTCATTTCAAAAATAAAGATACATATAAGTTCCAAATACCAGCACAAGAAAAATCAAACAAACTTACTAGAATACATATTTTTTTTCAAAAACAGGATTTTCCATTTTGAGCAAGTGGGAAAATCAGTAGTATTTTATTCTTATACCATAAGCATATTCTAAGTTACTTTATTCAAAATTTCACAGAAAAAAAACTGTGCAACATAAAATGCTTTTTATGTTTTACATGTGTTGCATATTTACTTAAATGTTAGAACTGTTTTTTATTTGATGCAATAGGTTAATTATAGATAACTGCTACTATTAATACCTTATTATCTGTGTAACATCATCTGCCTATGACTCAGTTGTAAAAAAAAAAAAAGGCCAAAGTTAAATATGCCTTTTTTCCTCAAAAATAGAATTTTCAATATAATTTTAAAGCATTAAATGTCTGAACCAAATCTGAAAAAAAAGGCTTTTTAAGATTGCAAAGAAACAACTATTTTTAAAGTTAGTTTAGTGAAACACAAGACAAAGGAATGTATAATTATTTATCAAATAAATGATGCTCTTTTATTTGATCCAGGGATTATGATCCCAAATAAGTCAACATAATGACCTTTAAAAAAATATTAAGATCAAATTTTTGGAAGTACAAATTACTCCAAAAAGACATAGCAATTAGGTAATAACCAGCCGTTTCCAAGTCACAACGCCTATGTTTGAATTGAGAATTTATCGATTCAATTTCAGCAACTCATTTTCCTATGGGGAAACAGAGTTGATTAAGCTATTTTTAAATCTTGTTTTTTTTTTTTCATTTGTCTGTTTGTTTATATATTTGAAAGGCAGAGTTACAAAGAAAGGATAGACACAGACTGAAGGAAAAAACTAAAAATGTGTCTTAACTTACTTCTAAACGCCCTATCATCAGGAATATTTCAGGCTAAGTAGGAAGTGCCAGTAGTGTTACCAGGCAACATTATCTAGTATTGGTCATACGCATCTGTATTAGGAGGGCTGTGAATGAATTCACAAACCTTTGGTTCAGTGTGCTTGGACCTGGGTTGGTACCAAAACATTGTTCCTTGTGGAGTTTGAGCGTTATCCAAGGCAAGGTAGTCCAGGCCTACCCAGAGTCCCTTTACCTTACACCTCACAAGTTGTTACATGGACAATGAGGAAGAGAAAGAGGAAGAAAATGTCCCTAGCAACAAAAGCGAGTCCTACTGAAGAATCAGGCATTATCCTGTTGATTCAGTTGTCTCTTATTCTGCTAATCCAAGCAATCCTATTCCAGATAACAGCCTATAATAAGAGTCATCAGAGTGTGACAAAAGCAAGTAACAGATTATAAAATTATATGAAAATGAAACAACCAAGCCTGTTGCTTATGATCACAAAGACATATACATTCACATAAATATATTATTCTCTCCCTATCACCATGGATTATTTCAGATACCATCTTCTGAGCATACTGTTTCAGTACACATAATTTGAGAATACTGTGTCCTGTAACAAATGTAGGATACTCCCTTTTCTCCCCATTGTGATTTTTTTTGGCATCTCTGACATTTTGTATTTGGTCACTACTACATTTTGACTTTCTTTGCAATTACTGTCAGGTCTAAAATTTTAAACTAAAAATTGGTACCTACAATTTCACAAATTCTTCAAAAGCAGGACAGTTTCTGAAAAATGAGACACTAAAGTGTCTTCTTGAATTGCTTCACTATTTACTCATTTGCTTTTAGAGGGTACCAGACTATATCTCTAGGGAACTTTCAAACCCAGTCTCCTGGAAAAAGTAACTCTGGCTATCACTTTTAATATTCTTTTGTAGATGTTTCATTAAATCGCCATGCTATTTTTTTGCACTGCTAACACCATCCTCAATTCCAAATCACCAGACACTTTACCACTTCCCATGAAAATGACTCTATACTTTTCTTCCATGCTTTTCTTTTTAAATACAGTTTTGGAACTTACCCCGACACATGCAACAACAGCAGCATGTAGAAGACAAAGAAGAGGTTATGAGTGTACCAGAAGATGTCATAGTTAGAAACTCTGAAAAACAAATTTGTTGAATGCTTCTTCACATTATATCCCACTAAAAAAACTCAATGTATTATTTTCACAATTTAAGAAAGCTAAAATATGAATTCACCCGAGATTTATCAATATCAAAATATTCACATATCAGGTGCACGCAGACTAGGCAAAATTATAAATAACATTTGATCATGTTGTGGAATATTTCAGATAAATTCTCAATGGAAAGAATCAAAATAATTGGTTTACGTTCAAGTTATGCTGTGAGAGTAAGAAGTGGGTAGTAGTCTGCTAATTTGTTCTTCTGATGTCATCTTTACCAACACTCTTGATTTTCAAATGATTTCTAACATGTAAACCCATAGACTTACTTTGGAACTACGTAAAGGAAAAGTAAATTGAGAGAGATAAAAATAACTGATGCCCGAATGTGTACACTCTTGCTTAGAGAGTGTAACTTGACAATTATTCTTGGTGGCTTTTGCTCCAAGTGCACAGTCTGAAAAGAAAGGGCACACTAAGCAATCTGTAGCTCTTCCCAGCTATAACTTTCTTATATGCAGGGGGGATGTTGTTTGGATTATGGAGGTGGAGAGCAGGACTTTGCAAATGCTTCCCGAGGGACTCTGAAACCTCCTCTAGAAGTCTATTAGACCTCCAAAGTGAGGCAAGGACCAATATGATCGTTTACAAAATGACCTGATAATCTCAGTGCATTCATTTCTGTACTGTTGTTTTAAAATAAAAATTACTTGAAGTAAAATTGATTAACCTTAGGTTACAATACTTACAAAGCTTGTAATAAATATTTCTCATTGCTTTATAAAGGAATGCTAACCAATTATAAACTTAACAATAAAGTACACTTGTCTATTACAATCAACTCAGGCCTCACTATATAAGTTCTCATTACTTTTAAGTAGGATTGAGTATTATTTCATATTATGTTACTCTTAATTTTTCTGCAGCTTATTAGCTCACATTTATTATCCATTTCCCAAAAATGTCTTTCTTAACAGACAGAAGTAAAATATTACCATTTTAAGAACATATTGATTCCATATTATTATAGTATTTTCCCAATATAATATTTGTCAGTTTTCCTAATATACTCATATGTAAATATGCAGACTCTTTTGCTACTTATAGAAAGTCAAATATTCCTTACATGATTCTTTATCCATCTTGAGGCTTGATAAATACTCATATAAGTTTTATCCTATTTTTTTTTATTTAACTCGAAACAAACATGAAAGAATGAGATATAGAGACAGAAAGAGATTTCCTATGTGTTGGTTTATCCCTAATCGCCTGTGAGAGTGGAGCTGGCTTCCACTCATGACAAGAGTGTGGAACTCAATCAGAAGGCCCTAGTGGCAAGGACTCAAGTACATAAACCATCCTCTGCTGCCTCCTGGGGAGAACTCTTACCAAGTAGTTGCAAGGGGAAGCAGAACCAGGATTCAAACACAGGATACAGGAATATTCACTTAAAAACCCTGCATCCTAGACAGACACCCAACAATATCCATTTGGGACGGTAGGAGGAGATGGTTGGATGAAAGTAGGTTGCAACACCTGTTGGCAAGTATATGATCAGAAGGGTATTTGGGACAGACTGGGCTAGTATGCCATACATACTGGCAAGCCAGGGTAGGGGGTGGGCCTGGTTGGGGTTACTGTGGGCCGCCCTGACTGGGCTGCAACTCCTACTGGTACGTGCAAGGGACAAGTGCGTCCAGGGCGGAACCAGGCGGGACTGCAAGAGGACACGGGTGGAGACAGAACCGACCCAGCAACTGCAACCACCAGCTGATTGGGGCAATGGACTGTGCCGGACCCTATACTACTAGAACATGCAGGAATTTGGACTGGGAATTCCTCAAAATTTCTTCGAGGATCTCCCCATTCGAGACACCGGACTCAGAGTCCTAACCAAGGAAAGACAGAACAAGTCAAGCAACAACCTCAGCTATCTGTTGGCAGCAAAATACTGGGCAAATGGAGACTCTAGAAGGGACTGTGTCAATCAATGGACTCTTCAACGACCACATTGTGTTTGGAGTGGCGAGACTGGCAGCGACCCATGAATGGTGAACTATTGGAACCACTTGATTGAGTATCTCAGAGCATGCCCCACATCCGGGACTTAGGGTGGGTGGGAAACTGGGTGGGGCTTCTCCCTCTATATCCCCCTTTAGGCCTTGAACCTTTTTTACCCTAATTAAATTTGTAAGGATTGTCAAAATTAAAAAAATAAAATTAAAAAAAAAAACCCTGCATTTTAATTCTTGCCTCAAATGCCTAGCCACTTCAAACTTTATCTAAAATTTCATTTAGTCTTACTTTTCTCATAAACTTATAAGAGCAACTTTATTTCATTTTGAAAAAGATTAATTTGTTTGTTTATTGCAAAGTCAGATATACAGAGAGGAGGAGAGACAGAGAGGAAGATCTTTCATCTGATGATTCACTTCCCAAGAGACTGCAATGGCCAGAGCTGAGCCAATCCAAAGCCAGGAGCCCAGAGCTTCCTCCAGGTCTCCCACACAGGGCAGGATCCCAAGATTTTGGGCTGTCCTCCACTGCTTTCGTAGGCCACAGGCAGGGAGCTGGATAAGAAGCAAGGTCACTGGAATTAGAATCGGGAACCAAATGGGATCCTGGCATGTTCAACTGCTAGGTCACTGTGTGGGCCCAAGAGCAACTTTAATATTTAGCAAGTTCTTATATATAGAAAGGCCTTTCAGAGGATTATGTATGGACTCTGAGCTTTGGTTTAGTAGGCTTGGCATTGTTTTCAAGGAAGACTTACCCTCTTAAAGTTACTGAAACATAATTATTTTAATATTCAGTGAGGTATAACTTTCTTTTCTACTCTTTCGCATCATGTACTTAGATAACAAAATAATCCATGTGAATTTTAACTAAAATGCAACAAATCCCCCCTGCCCAAAAAAAAAAAAAATCAAGGAAGAACCACCATTTTATACTACACTATGGGGCCTAATTTATTCAAACCTCTACACATTTGTATCATTGAATTTAGGTGAGTTTTTTTCTTTATACAACTTTTAATTTCTAATTGTTTACTTCTATGAATTTTGCAGTCTACTCTATTTGTGATATATTTTTTCAATATATTTTTATTTTGAATTTTAAATTATGTGGTACAATTTCGCATAGGCTGGGATTTCCACCCAAACTCCCACCCGCAACAGATTTTTCCCATTGAGAGATTTTCCCCACTTTACATGAGTGATATATTTTTATCTTGCACATTTTCAAAGTGATTATAGCAAGTATGGAGAAACGCAATTGTTTTATATTTAATTGTTCATTAATTTATCTAGCATTAATAATGACTTTTATCATAATTCCTATGAATTTTCTCGGTAGGCAATGCATATATTTTTCTGGAAACAAATTTGCTTCTGCATTTTAAAAATAATTTCAAATGTTTTAGTTCTTACCATTTGCAAAATAATGAGAATTATACATATATACATCACCTTGGTTTTCCATGATTTTCTCAGAAATATAAACAGTATGTCACTACAAATTATGTTTTAATTCTGGCTTTATTTATGATTTATTTATTTGTATTGGATATACAGAGAGCAGGAGAGAAAGAGAGGAAGATCTTAAGTTCAGTGATTCACTCCCCAAGAGGCTGCAATTGCTGGAGTTGAGCTGAGCCAGAGCCAGGAGCCCAGAGCCTCTTCCGGGTCTCTCACATGGATGCAAAGTCCCAAGGCTGGGCCATCATTTACTGCTTTCCCAGGTCACAAGCAGGGAGCTGGATGGGAAGCAGGACTGCCAGGATTAGAACCAACACCCATATGGGATCCTAGCACGTGCAAGGCAAGGGATTTAGCTGGTAGGCTACAATACTCGGCCCAATTCTGGCTTTTATATTTTTAATTCTATACATGAATTAATTTTTAAGATTCCTTTAATTATTTAAAAGGCAGAGTAACATAAAGGGAGAGATAAAAAGAAATCTTCCACCTGCTGTTTTTTTTTATTTTTATTGGAAAGTCAGATATACAGAGAGGAGGAGAGACAGTGAGAAAGATCTTCCGTCCGATGATTCACTCCCCAAGTGAGTACAATTGCCGATACTATGCTGATCCGAAGCCAGGAGCCAGGAACTTCTTTCTTCCGGGTCTCCCACACGGGCGCAGAGTCCCAAGGCCTTGGACGATCCTCCACTGCTTTCCCAGGCCACAAGCAAGGAGCCAGATGGGAAGTGGAGCCACCGGGATTAGAACCGGCGCCCATATGGGATCCTGATGCGTTCAAGGCAAGGACTTTAGCTGCTAGGCCATGCCGCCGGCCCCATCTGTTGTTTCATTCCCCAAAATGGTCACAACAATTGGACCTGGGCCAGGCAAAAGTCAGAAATTTCTTCTTGATTTTCCAAATGATTGGTACAGGCCCACGTACTTTCTGGGCCCTTGGCAGGAAGCTGCAATGGAAGCAGAGTAGCCAGGATCTGAACTGGCTTGCTGATTTGGATATCAGCATTACAAGCAGCCTACTGGTTACTACAGGGGAAAGAATTTAAGTTCTAGATTGTTTACTTCAATGAAGTTTCATAATTAGTAACTATCATTTTAACATTTATGGTTATGAGAAAATATTGTGCTCCTGTTATGTGTTGATTGAATGTACTAACTATGTTAATAGAATGGTCCAGATTATATCACTCTTAAATTCCCCTATCAGTAGCATTGCATGCCACCTGTGGGATAACCTGCAAGTACCTGCTTGTGAATGATAAGGAAGAGAGTGGGCCACATCTCATTGGGTCACAGAACACACTGAAACACAAGATAGCCAGATCTGAGAGCAGATTATGTAGGGGATTTGCGGTCTCCCCTCTGTGGGACAGTAGCACTTACAGCTTTGTGTGAGAGCTGGGGGTAGTGATGCTAAAGCCAGGCTGGATTATGGAAATCACCTGACTCTCACAGGAGCTGGAGCTGCGAGGAGGCTGGGCTAAGCCAGGCTGCAGCATCAACAGGAATGCAAAGGCCAAGACCAAGGAAAGATCATGCCAAGGAGGACTGTAGTACCCACTCACACACATGAGATCCAGGGCTGGGAGTAGGCCTGGTAAGAGAACTTGGGGGAAATTCCCTACTAGGCCACAGCTTCCACTGGGAAATCCAAGAGCTGGGGCTCTCAGTCAGCCAGGTCAAACAAGGCTGCAGCACTCAACAGCGTTTGTGTGATCTGGGTCTGGGGGCAGGCCAGGCTGGACCAGGCAACAGTACCTGCTGGCATTAATGACAATAAGGACAGGAAACAGGATACACCTAACTGGATTAGACAGAAAACCTGCCAGTAAGAGCTGAGACTGTGCAGGTCATGAGACTGTGGGCAGGTTAAACCAGACTGGGTTGAAGCACCTGCCAGCATGTGCAATATCTGGGGCTAGGCTTGGGCCTGGTAAGAGAACTATGGGCCTGATAGGAGAATCAAGCCTAAGGCCATTCCAGGGGAAGCATCTTGGGGGACTCACCAACAAGATTGGTGGACTCAGGGCCCGGTGCGGTGGCCTACGAGGCTAAAATCTTTACCTTGAATGTACCAGGATCCCATATGGGCATTGGTTCTAATCCTGGCAGCCCCGCTTCCCATCCACCTCCCTGCTTGTGGCCTTGGAAAGCAGTGGAGGACAGCCCAACGCTTTGGGATCCTGCACCTGGGTGGGAGACCTGGAAGAAGTTCCTGACTCCTGGTTTCAGCATGGCGCAGCATCGGCTTTTGTGGTCCCTGCCTCTGCTCCTTTCTATATATCTGACTTTGCAATTAAAATAGATAAACCTTTAAAAAAAATTAGAGGACTCAAACCCCAGCCATGGGAAAAATCTCAAGATAAAATGGTCTGACCTTGGAGTGCATGTGCCAGGACTGGGCCTCCTCCATTGCTGATGTCTGTGCAATGGACAGCATACCCAGATGCACATGGAAGACATGGAACCAGCTTATTTAAACCCAGCAGAGGATGTCAGGTGCCTCATCAGGAGAAGGAAAGCAGAACTGGTTGAACCATGGTACTGGCCAAACTCTGCAGCAAGTGTCTGGATCTGTGCATGCACTAAGGTGGATTTGGTCAGCCAGGACTTTGGAAAGATTTCCTCAACCCTGGTGCAATGAAGCAGATGGCATCTTAAAACTATCAAAACCATTCAAGGAATACCCTTGGAACACTGTTTCCCCCAAGGGAGTCCCTAATGCATCATCAAATGACTGCTCCTTACCCTGGTTGCTGGTGTAGTTCGATAACAAGGAGCAGCTCCTGGAGAGGCAGGAAAGTTGAACCATTTGGCCCACCCATCTTTTACCATACCTCTACCCCACCCCACCCTAGTCAGAGCCCTTCATGGGCATGCATCCCTTACAGCTATGTGCATTCTATTACAAACAAAATAAATGAAAAAGAAATGTTTTTTTTCTGCCCTTTTAAAACAGTTGAATCAGAAACACCACTTTACAAATATTCTGATAATTAACGTACATTCCTTAGGACAGGAAAAGTTACTAAGGGTAATATAAAGCTAAAACTGGAAAATCCAACTACAAGAACCTATACAAATGTAATTGTATACAATTATAAAGGAAGATTTCAGTCAGCTATTTCCAGAACTTTGTTTAGAACAGTGTTAAATTATAGCAACAATAAATACTCTTCAGGAAATTTACAATAAAATAATTTTCAGTCCTTTATTTCTAGGAGTTTCAAAATCCCTAAATATGCACATTCTCTTATTCCATAAAAGAATGTGATCCTGAATAACTGATATTCCCATAGTCATCAAATGAAGTCTCCAAACACAATTCCTCATCAACCCAGAAAAAAAAGAAATATAGGGATTTTCTTTTAAAAGTATATACAATATTATATATGGTTTTATATATATATACATATCATATGTATATCACATATCTAGTTACAATACACAGGCTAAACACTTAAATGAGTGCAGACTTTTCTATATGTGAAAATGAAGATAACTGAAGGAAAATCTCGAGAATCCGAGTGGTAAACATCAAGATGGTAACTGCGACACTTACCTTATGGCATAGGTAGAAGCTGTCACCATGAGGAACAGCACCATTACCATGCAGACTCCTGTCAGGCCAGGAACTATTAAAATGAACATAAATACATTTTAACTTAAGTCATACTGAGAAAAAGTGTCAAAAAGTATGACTTTAAAACTCAAAGTGCTACACTGTTCAGTGGGAAACCTAATTTAAGTAGCATATCTGCATGCATTTGCTCTCCAAACAAGGGGAGACTTTTTAAAGTCAACAGTTTCCGAGTACTTTAGTCACAGTTTTTTTCTTTAGCAGAAGAGACCATTTTGGCATTCCAAAATATTGCATTTAGAATAGCAAACATATGTAAGCATATGCTATACACCAAATGCCAGTAATCAATACAATGGGTAGAGTTAAGCTTCAGCAGATTGTTGGTTGTACATGCCCTGTTACTCAATCCCCTTAGATGCGACAGGCAACTCCTTTAACTTCAACTTCAAATAACTGCTTTTCAAATTTTTTTATAAGATTTTATTTATTTTATTGGAAAGGCAGATAGACTGAGAGGAGGGCAAACAGAGGAAAATTTCCATCCCATGGTTCACTCCCGAAGTGGCCGCAACGGCTGGAGCTGAGCCAATCTGAAGCCAAGAGCCAGGAACTTCTTCCAGCTCTCCCATGCGGGTGCGGGGTCCCAAAGCTGTGGCCATCCTTGACTGCTTTCCCAAGCTACAAGCAGGGAGCTGGATGGGAAGCCGGACTGCTGGGATTAGAACCATCGCTCACAAGGGATCCTGGCACATTCCAGGAGAGGACTTTAGCCACAAGGCTAGGCTATCACGCCAGGCCCTGCTTTTCAACTTTATTATCTTGAATAATTTTAAGGAGAAATCATATAAAAACCGAAAAGTTAAAAAATAGCAATAAAATATAGAAAAAAAGTATAATTTGAGGAAAAGGTGCAGGCTTGATTTTTTTATTTGGTGAGAGTTTACTTATTTAAAAGGTGAAGTGACAAAGAAAGGGAGACCAGAGACAGAAACAGATCTTCTAGCTGCTGTTTACATCCCCAGATGTTGGCAGCAGGTAAGCTGAGAAAAGCCAAAGCCGGGAACTCCTTCTGGGTCTCCAACGCAGGGAATAGGGGCTTGAGTCCTGGGGCCATCTACTGCTTTACCAGGCACAGTAGCAGATAGCTGGATAGGAAACAGCCCAGGACTCAAACTGGTACTCAGTTAAGGGCTGATGTTTTAAGAACATTTACATAATTTTGTGAGTTTCTTCAGTTACAAGTCAATAAATCTGAAGGGGAAAAGAGAAAAGGTTGATACCTCTGGTTGAATGTGACTTAGAACAATACAAAAGACTTTTATTTGAACAACTGAATAAATAAATGTTTTAGCCATCTCAGATGGTAAAAATAGTAAGAAAGTTCTAGTTAAAGTGACCTGGATAGTAACTATATCAGTTCTTTATTAATGTATTAATATGTCTACATTCAAATGCTCTTGCTAGAAACATAGATTTATTTTACTTGAGTTACAGAGAGAGAAGGAGGCAGACAGAGAGAGCAATCTCTCTCCCCATGGCCACATGAGCAGGCTGAGCCAGGGAAAAGCCTGGAGCCAGGAGCTTCATCTTGATCTTCAATGCAGTTGCAGAGACCCGAGCACTTGGACTCTTCTCTGCTACTTTCCCTGGCACATTAAGCAAGGAGCAGGATAGGAAGTGGAGAGGCTGGAACCAGAAGTAGAGCCCATCAAGGAGGCTGGTCCTGCAGGTAGCATCTTAATTCAATAGGCCACAGCATCAGACACTCTGCATCTTTTTTGTTTGGTGAGTTACTTCATTTTTCTGAAATAACTAGAGAACTAGACAGCAACAATGAGAACTTCTGGTTGCGAATCCCATTCCTCAGTTGACTGCAATAGCCAGGGCTGAGCCAGGACGAAGACTGGAGGCAGACGTTTTATATAGGACTCATACATGGGTGTAAGGACCCAAACAATTGTCCATCATCTGCTGCATTTCCCATGCCATTAGCAATAAGATGGAGCAGAAGTGGGTAAATGGAACAGCCAGGACATGAACTGGGGTCCAGATGAGATGCTAGAGGCATGAGCACCAGCTTTATCCTCTATACCACAACTCTTGTCCTATCCTATTTTATTCTGAGCATGCCAAGTTACACTATGGAATATGGAAAACTCAACTCATTGGAAGAACACCTGAAAAACTGATTATGGTTACAATACAGTCATACTTTCAAAAGGTATAATTTGCTTCTAACGCCTCAAAATATTAATTGCACCATCAAAACTCCCGTATCTGTTCTAGGAGGTCCTAGAGCACATTAGTGTATAAAACTCTCTGGGTGGTTGTAGCAATATTTTGCTTCAGTCCTCCTTGGCTCAGGCTTCACATCGGTCGGATTTTACAATAGGCTTCAGTCTGTCCAGTGGGTGACCTCACCTTATAAAGACAGACCAGATCCTGGGCCTGGTGCAATGACTCAGTGGCTAAGTCCTCACCTTGCATGAACCAGGATCCCATATGGGTACCAGTTCCTGTTCTGGCTACTCCACTTCCCATCCAGCTCCTTGCTTGTGGCCTAGGAAAGCAATCTAGGATGACCCAAAGCCTTGGGACTCTGCACCCTCATGGGAGAAGAAGCTCCTAGTTCCTGGCTTTGGATCAGCTCACCTCCTGCCACTGCAAACACTTGGGGAGTGAACCAGTGGAAGGGAGATCTTTTTCTCTGTCTCTCCTTCTCTTTGTAAGTCTGACTCTTGAAAGAAAAAAAGGAAACAACTAAATCTTAGAAAAGAGAGAGAGCAAGAACCAAGGTCCTTAACTATCTTCTGGCTATTTATAGGAACAAGATCAGGAAGGAAGCATGCCTGCCTCTGGTAAGGTCACTGCCATCAGCAGGAGTAGATGTTTGGAATGCCAGCATCTAGGCCTGGTTGCCATAAAGACAAAGAGATAGGCAATCACAGCCCTTTGTTCATGAAGGGTCATTCACTTAACACCAGCCTTTGCACACCCAGGAATACAGCAACTAAAACAATTAATCAATTAATAATGGTTGTTGTAACCTGCAAATTAATTTCAGATTCCCATGTTTACATAATCTTTGATTTGTACACAGAGAATAAAAATGGACTAAGGGAGTAGCTCTGGACTCTTGTGCCTGGCTCATGTACCACAAGTCAACCCTCATCCCTGTTGTTTTTTTATCTTTCATTATTCATACTTAATTCTTCCCATTTTAATTAATTCTTTCAATGCCCGACTCTTGGCCTTGTACCTTGCAGAACTGTTGCACGTTGGCATGCAAAAGGAGGTACCTAGGGCAAGAAATTCATTTAAACTAGAAAAGCTATTTGACCAGGGAACTACTTTTAGAACAGAATATGTAAAATATATTAGAAGACTTAGAGGGTATAGAACAGATGACTTTAGATGCAGAAAACCAGGCTGGCATATATTCTCATATAGTCTGGGATTAGTGTACCTTTAATAAAGTTACCTCTTATTTAAAGTGTTAATACTTTTCTTTTTCCAAAAGCACAAAAAGACTGTGTAAATTAGGGGGTTTAAGATCAATGAAGAATAAATCACCTTAGTAATAATAAAGGAAGACTTACTATAACTACCCAAGGGGGAAAAAAACTGAAGATATTCATAAAGCCACAAGTTAATCTTGCTAGCAGTAAGCAAGCTAATCTTTACCTGCAATATTAGGGACATGAAAATGTTAGACAATATAGAGATATGTATCCAGTATCCAATAAGAATCCATCACATAGCTTTTACTCATTAAGTGAGCTGTTTGTAGGTAATGTATGATTAAATGCTAAAGATGAAATAAATCCTGCTCTACAAGAACTATCCAGTGGGAAAGACATATTAAGAGGTAAGTGTTCTTGGATAACAGTTTAGCTAAATCACAAGATGTTTGCCTCTCTTCAGTATTTAGGAAGCATGGGCTAAAAATTACTAGACTAGTTCAATCTCGTTGAGCAAAGAAACCTACCAAATTACATGACTTTTCCTATAAACTCTGTAGGCTCTCTAAATTATGCAGCCAATTTTAGTATTTTTTTCCTCTGAAAACACATTCTTGTAACACACCAGACTAGGCCACCAATTGGGATGCTCAAATCACATAACGGAATGCCTGATTCTAGTCCTGCTGCTACATGCTGCAGACCCAGTTTCCAGCTATGTTCCTGGGAATGGTCCAAATAACAGAGTTCCTGTCACGCGCACAGGAGACCTGGGGAAGTGTCTGACTCCTGACTTGAGCCTGGTCCATTCCTGACAGTTGAGAGTATTTGGGGAGTGAACTTGCAAATGGAATCTGTCTCTCCCACTCTTTGTTATTCGGCCTTTCATGTAAACAGTTCTTTAAAACCTTAAATGCATGTATATTTATTCTTACTGTCTTTTATCTGAACATATCAGAGTCAGTGAATACTAGTCTTCAAATAATTTTAGAGCAGTCATTGTGGTGCAGCAAGTTAAACCTGCCACTGGAGATGACACCATCCTAATCAAAGTACTAATTTGATTTCTGGCTGCTCTGCTTCTAGTACAGCTTCCTGAGAATACACCTGGCAAAGAAGCAGACAATGACCAAAAGTCTCAGTCCTGGCCACCCCTGTGGGAACCCAGGACAATATTCCTGACTGCTGACTTTGGCCTCAGTAAGCCTTGACCGTTAGTGTCATATGTGGAGTGTACCAGGAGACTGAAAATCTATTTCTCCTCTCTCTTTCCTCATGTGTGTGTTTGTCTCCTATGTCACTCTGCCTGTCCAACCAATCATTAAGATTAATCTTTAAAAACAATTTCCATAAGCTGCCACTTTTAAATGAAATTGAGCTATCATTTCACAATACTCAAATATAATCATAAATACAACCTCTTTTATATATAATCCTATTTTTCTAATACAATTGGAAACATGATCATATTTTGATGCAGGCTTTTCTAATTTTTTTAAAGACTTTTATTTGAAAGTTAGATTTACAGAGAGAAGGAAAGACAAACAGAAAGATCTTCCATTCACTGGTTTATTCCTCAAGTGGCCACAATGGCTGGAGCTGAGTAAATCTGAAGTCAGGAAGTACGAGTTTCTTCTAGGTCGCACATATGGGTACAAGGTCCTACAAATTTGGGTCATTCTCCACTGCTTTCCTCGGCCACAGCAGAGAGAATGGATGGCAAGTGGAGCAGCTGGGACATGAGAAAGCACCTATATGGGATTCAAGTGCTTGCAAGGGGAGGATTAGCCAATTGAGACACTGCGCTCGATCCAGGCTTTTCTAAATTAAACTGGATATTGTGCATTTTATGCAAGTTGTGTGGATACAACATTTTAAACGAATACTTCTGTAATTCAAACTATTAAACTTTTCTTTCATAAAAAAATTGTAATATTTTAGGATTTTTATATAACAAGACTAACTGCAATATTTTATATAACTTATTCGGTCATAGGAATCATTGTTTATAAAATAATTTTAATTTATAATTAATTTATATTACATAAATGTAAGTACATGGGGAAAGTCATGGTACATTTTTAAAAAATTAAAATCCAACAAATTTTCAAATATTAAGAAACATAATCTCTGCCATCAGAATACCAAAAAAGCATGAGTGTGATGAACTTAATTTTTTCGAGTTGCAGTGGCCCAGGATATTCAAGAATGGCTGTGGACAGGTTAGGCAATAATAATAAAAAACTGAATTCCATCCACTTGCAGAAAATAGTATCTCCTATACTAATGTGTGCCCTAGGCTTCCCTTTTCTCTGTCATCTGTTACTATTCAGTAGGGTTAATCAGATGGTTTAGTAGCTCCAGATTTATACTTAGAGAGTCCTGTGTCTTAGCTGCAGGATTACGATCTGAGAAGTGATGGTTCTAGGCAGCTATAACAGCACTTTAGGAAACTGTGAGACTGGGATACCAAAATGCCACTCATGTGCTGATTTTGAGGAACTCAAACTGCGTTCAACAGAAACCCTGCACGTGCTAGAAGCAGCTATTCTTCTTGGGAGGGGAAAAAAAAACAACAATAAGGGCAAAACAGAAAATGCCTACCACACAGTAATTATACTAGGTAGTTTTAGAGAAATGAGTTCAATCTAGCACCATTAGAGAGAAGTTGTATATGATGGGCATGTCCATATGATCCAAGGATGAGAAGGAATTGTCTAGGGGAACAAAAGTAAATACACCATTTCTGGTAAAAATGTGGAAAGTAATGGTAAGGTATGCGTAAGGGTACAATATTATGTTCAGTAGAGATAGAAGAATAACTCCAGAGGCTCCTGAGCGGGATGGTAATATACAATATCCAGTCTGCCACAGTGTCTAAGAAAGAGTCTGGAAATCTGTGTGTGTATGTTTTCTTTCCCTAGCCCAACACTACTGATGGGGACCTCTGAGACAGGGTGTAAGATTATGGCATTTCCTGTTAGAAAGACAGATTGCTTGCTGAAAGAAGCACTAGACACAGTACCTTCCTGTAATATCTTACTCACATAAGAAATCTTTTCACATATCTGTAAACTTAATTTTATAAAATATTTTAAATTTCCAGAGCATGAGCTAAAATTTCTAAAGTAGTAAATAAAGCTCTTGTTCATTCTCCCTCAATTGATTCATATGAACCAAAAATTTCATTGTTTCATATCATACAGTTCCATTTTTCTTTCCTATTTCTCATCTAATTCTTAAGGCTTAAATGCAAACCTGCTTGCAAGGAGAAAATTGAAAGTAAAATTAAATTGTGTTCCAAAAGAGGATATTGTGAAATACTATACCAGTGGCAAACATCATAAATCTATAGGCAAGCACATAATGTATTTCATAAATCTAAATATATACTTGTGACACGAAGAGGTAAAGCACCTGAATTATGGTTATTTTTCATCATAAATTGATCCAGGAAGAACAATGCATTTGCAGGATAATGTGCCTCAGTGACGCATTCAATTCTGATCCTTAATAGGCTATTACAGCCAAACATTGATGATAGATCATCTCAACTACCAAATCATTTTTGTCCCTGAAATTGGTACTAAAAATCCACCAAATGCAGCTTTTAACCTCATCTCTATAAATGGATGGCAGAGAAGGAGACAAATGCCAGTAAGAATTGTCTACCAGAGGAAGGTTTTGAGATTTTCAATTGTGTTTCTACTAAATTAATAGTCTAGACTGAAATTTCATGCACAATCAGCTTAAGAAAGAAAATAAATCACAAACGGAAGAAAAATTTCAAGAAAAGCAACTCATTTTAACAGCTGCTTCTCCTTTCATAAAGATTTTAAAGCCATCAATAGTCCTATTAAATCACTGAATTGTAAAAACTAAGCAAAAATGCAAACTTCTTGGTGCCTCTTTCCCATACTTTGAGACTAGGAACTCATGTATTGGCTCCCATGTACTAGCCTTGTCATGGAGCATAAAGCTGTAGGACTCAGAACAAAGAAATATGCTCACCTACTCTTCATCATTCAAACTCCAATTGTTTGTTTCAGCCCTCTGTCCTCATTGCAAACTTACGTCTGAACTCAACATTTGGGTAGATACATAAAATTTCTATATGTCATGTTTTAACATGTGTCTAATGCTATGAAATGTAATGACACATATTTTCAAAATGTTCCTGAATGTAAAATAGTGCAATGAATAACAACTTACCAGTTGTGAAGAGAAGTTTTCTGGGATCCTGAAAAGAAAAAAAATATTTGATTGAAAAACAGAAAGCACTGATGACATAAAATTCTACACAGTTTGCAAGATGCTAAGAGCCATGCACCAGACATGCAAGATATTATTCTCCCAAAAGAAATATGGGACTAAGTTAAGTCATGTAACATTTTCACAACTGAGAGAAGTGAATCTGCCCGAGAAAGGGGCAACTCCGCATGAGTTAGAAGGGTGAAGTATGGGGAGTCTCAGTGCATCTAGCCTGTTCTCTTAAACCATCTGAAGACCTAATATCACCACATGCAACTTAAAAAAGTTCATTTTTACTTTGTATACGATGATTGAAATGCTGTCAACTTACTTTTTTTTAAAACTTTATTTCTCTCTTTTGCATTATATAGTCTTGCAGCCATAGCGCATCCCCCCTTGCTTTTTCTGACTCTCCCTTCCAACTGCCCCACCATATCCCTCAGTATTTTAAAATATTATAGTCGTGAGAAAATCAAGATGGCAGAATAGGGTAAGGACATGTTTAAATGGACTGAGAAACATTTATTAGGATGAAGCAGAGAGAACACATTCTAGGAAATAGGAAAGGACAGAACAACATCAGAGAGGTACCTGGAGATTGACAGACACAGGAAAGCAGCAGACACAACAGTGTGGTATTGCAGTGACTGATATTCCAGCTGCATTCAGCTAACAGTGATCTGAATTCTACCAGCAGCCGGAACTCCACTAGCAACCAGGTGGGAAGGGACTTTCCCTGGGAGCTTGGGAGATGAACCCAAACAAAAAACTGTCCGTCCTGATGGTCCGTTTGATTTGACCAGGAGCAGAGACAGAGCAGCAGATCCCAGATGGGCAGTACAAGAACAGGGTGGATTTCACATCCCAGTCAGCCACTAGAGCCGAATTGGGTGCCATTTTTTTAAAGAGACAAAAGCAAGGGAAAGTACTGAGCATATGCTGAGCTGGGAGTGAACTCATTTCTGACTCAATTAACTGCAACAACGTGGCATTCTATAAGGTTTACCCAAGACAGGTCTGGGTAGCTCTCAGATCTGATAGTCAGCAGATCAAGAACTCTAGTAGTGGTAGGTCAGGTGCCATTTTGTACACTATGGCAAAAGCTTAGGACTGCAGGGGACAACAGTGAACTGCGCATGTGCTGATTTTGCAAGAACACACGGAGTTTCGTGGATTGCACTGGTCCCACAGGAAAATAATACCGGCTGTGGCAACATATGGGCAAAATAGGTCCGTGTGGCACCCAGATCTAACGTCCAGCAGGTTCCAGCAAGATCAGCACCACCAACAACCTAGCTACATAGGATACCTGGTGTCTCCCTAATCCTGGTACCTACTCCAACTGGAAATGAGAGAAAGGTTGTACAGACAACAGTGCAGCCTCAGCATGGTATCACAGGAGGTGGAGAGTGGTGAGCCAGGAGTTGGGACTATGGAGTTCTTGGTGGAAATCTAACATAGGAACCCAGACCTGGAACTTGCTGGAGGGAGTGACACAAGTGGCTGCAAGCAAAGAGTTGTGTACCAACTGCAATAATTAAAATGAAACTGTAGACCTATGGGTGACATAGCTTAGAAACCTGCCCCAATGAGAAGACTCTGCTAACTAGAAGTGCAATGACCAAGAGCAAAAGAAGAGACAAAGGCACAATGAATATTACTGAAAACTCCCCTAAAAAGGAGCAAAACCCTATGCCAATCTTAGAGTTAACTGAAGAAGACATCAAGAAAATGGGGCACACAGAATTCAGAAAACTCATTTTAAAGCTTCTGATCAACAATGAGAAACACATACAAGAGTTTGAAGAATTTAAGGAAGCAATAAAGGAAATCAAGGCTGGTATATCACAAATTAAGAACACAGTAGAGCAAATTAAAAGTACAATGGAGAGTCTCCAAAGTAGAATGAAGCAAGCAGAAGAAAGAATCTCAGAATTGGAAGATATTTCCTGTTATCGGTGGGAAGCAAACAAAAAGCTGGAAGCAGAGCTGGATCAGGCCAAAAAAAGTATTCAAGAATTGAAAGACACTATTAAGAGGGCAAATAGAAGAGTTATGGGAGTCCCAGAAGTTGCAGAAAGAGAAACTGGTTTAATTTATTTAATGAAATAATAAAGGAAAATTTCTCTAATCTAGAGAAAGAATTGGGAAACAAGATCCAGGAGTGGCACAGAACTCCCAACAGGCCTGACCAAAAGAGATCTTCACCAAGACACATGATCATCAAGCTCTCTTCAATTGGACATAAGGAAAAGATCCTTAAATGTGCACGTGAAAAAAATCAATTGACATATAAAGGAAGGCCAATTAAGCTCACAGGAGATCTCTCACAGGAAACTCTAAAGGCAAGAAGAGAATGGAGGGACATATTCCAGATCCTAAAAGAAAAAATTTGTCAGCCTAGGAAAACATATCCAGCAAAGCTTTCTTTGGTCTTTGAAAATGAAATAAAATTCTTCCACAGTAAAGAAAAGTTAAAAGAATTTGCCTCTTCCAAACCTGCCCTACAAATGATACTTCAAGATGTTCTCTTGACAGAGAAGAAGACTAGCACTCAAACAAAACCAAAGGCAAACGGGAAGAACATCCCAGTAAAATGACAACAGAAAACTAAACCAATGAACAGCCCATTGCTCAAATGACAGGACCAAAGTACTACCCACACATATTAAACTCTGAATGTAAATGGCTTAAGCGCAATCAAATGTCATAGATTAATAGACCAAATTAAAAAACAAAACCCATCTATTTGTTGTCTAGAAGAAACACATTTCACCAACAAAAATCAGCGGAAACTAAATCGCATGGGTTTTGATGTTTTCTGTTACTTTCATCTCTTCAAAACACTTTCTTCTGGCTAAATTCTTCAATGACACAGATCATACAGTAGCATCATTTTCTTCAATAAGGTTCTTGGTTTCATTTCTTCAGCTACACATTAGTCATTTAGAAGCATGTTACTTCACTTCATGGCGTTGTTAATTTCTTTTTTCCTCCTGATGTTGATTTTGTATTGTGGCTTTTCATTTAAGGGGATGTATAGTAGCTGTGTGATGGAGACTGTCATAGCTAGTAGCATGTCATTTAGCTTCATGGCATTGTAAATTTCTACTTTTCTTTCTATTGTTGATTTTGTATTATGACTTTTCATTTCAAGGGATGTACAGTAGCTGTGAAATGAAGGCTATCATATCCAGATATGAGGATACAATGTAGTATGCATTTCTACTTCCAGACAAAGATGGACTTACAATGAAACTGTCTATCATATCTTGACAATAACATGCTGGACTCTCTGCCATTGTCCATGCCTACAATGAGGAACATATGACTGTGGATGAAGAACTATACTTTATTAATGATATAGAGGAACTAGGTGTGATGGGTGGAATTGGGGCTGTGATAAGGGAAATGCCAGGAGCCTATGGAACTGCATCACAAAATGATGATAATAATAATACATGTACAAAATGCAAAATAAAATAGTAATCAAAATATTTTGCATGATTTAATAATATCATCATGATTATAAAATATATATGACTTCTACAATGAAAGAAGCCAAGAAAGAAAAAAGAAACAAAAGAAATTAAGAAGCAATGCTAACAGAGGCAGAGGGTCAGAAGGGAGGCAGAGGGGGCAACACACCAAGCTTGATTTGTCAAGATTCTCCATGATGGGTGGGTTGCATATTCACTGGGCAAGCTTCAAAAAAAATTCAATGCTTGTGGCCCACTCACACCACTGAAATTATATTGGTTCTTTAAAAATATCAGTAGAAGTAAGGAGTACGTGGTATTTCAAAATGCACTGATATTGTGATTTTATTTTTTGTTATGATTACTTTTCCTTTGTATTTTTTTGGGGGGGGGGCAGGGGAGCAAAGTCAAGTATCCATTCTGAAAAGTCTGGTGATGGATCTGACATGATGGCTCAATGGCTAAATCCTTACTTTTCAAGCACCAGGATCCCGTATCGGCACCATTTCTTGTCCTGGCTGCTCCACTTGTCATCGAGCTCCCTGGTTGTGGCCTGGGAAAGCAGTGGAGGATGGCACAGGCCCTTGGTTCCCTGCACATACGTGGCAGACCCATAAGAGGGTTTTGGCTCCTGAATTTTGGCTTTTATAGGCTCAGCCAAAGTCATTGTGGCCATTTGGGGAATGAAACAACAGATGGAATAACTTTCTCTCTGTCTCTCCTTCTCTACATAAACCTGATCTGCTACTCATGTGAAAATAAATCTTAAAGAGAGAGAGATAGAGAGAAGTCTGTATGAAAGCAAAAATGCTGTGGGTAGAAGACAGAAATTAATCCTATCATGTTACTGCCAGACTTAGTAGCACTTGCAAGGTTCAGACCAAGTGGGATATCCTAGTTTTGCAGCTGTGACATTGTGAAGAAAAGGCAGCAGGAAGAACTGAGCTACACAGAACTAATCAAGATGGTGCCAGAGATGTGCAGCAGGAAGTGCACAACAAGGTCATCTGATGAGCAGTTTCACATGGAGAAAAGCATCCCTACATCAGATAGTACCTGCTACAGAACTTAGCTCAAGATCACCCATTTCAAGGTGAATAAGCAGATCAAAATCATGAAAACTCACTAATATTATTTAAGTCAAATTGATCATATGGGATCAACAAATCATAAGCCTTCTTTCCTGCATTTTCCCCCCAAGAACAGTATTCAAGTTATGAAAGTATTTTTACCCTGTAATAACACTATTGACACTTTCAACTGAATGACAGAAATTATACCAGAGCTGTGGGGAGTCAGAAGGCAGGCCTGAGTGGCAACCACCTGAGCATGACCAAATATAAAAAAAAAAAAAAGACAGTTTGCAAACTCCCATTTTTAGTTGCAAGGACCAGGAAATAGCAATTACCTATATTTTCTATTGAAAAGGAACAAAATTCAACTTGACAACTGCATTTTAAAAGCATTCAAAGGAGCAGCGAGGTGCAAATTTTCTGTAAAAATCACAGACCCTCATTAGTCATCCCATGACAGGTTAAAAAAAAAAAAAATGGGAAGACAGAGACCACCCACCTCATCTCGATATCTTGCTGCATTCAGTTCAATGAAATCCTCATTGTAGTTCACTGAGAAGTTGAGGGCATTCACCAGATGGGCAGCCACGTGCACACCTACAGAATCACACCAGGTACAAGTCAGTGGGAGCTTCATATAAGCTCTATGGGATAGAGTCAGTAAGAGACAAAGAAATCACATTGAAAGGTGAAGTTCTAAAAATAAAAAAAGAAATGAATTTGACTATAAACAGCTCATAGAATTTTCAAAAGTTGAAATTAAACAACCATATGAAGTTAGTTGAAACGAGGGAGAAAATATATCTCTCATGCATTTATATATGTTTGTACCTAATGATATGTACATCTTTTAATTTACTTAGCCAGCTTTTGAGTATTTTACATGCTCCATAGCTTTCATCTCTTTCAATTCAAAACCGGTTACCTCTCTTCTATAACTGACTGCCACATGCCCTAAAAATATAAAACTGTTTCTAAAGGATTATAGAAATCCTTTATAAAAGCTGAAAGTATTATAAGTAGCTGAAATTACTTATCAGCAACCAAATTAAATCATAAAGTTTTAAACCAAATAGCAACAGTTAGGAACTACTTCAATGGACAACTCAGGAAAATGAACTGGGCCCGGCGCGGTGGCACAGTGGTTAAGGTCCTTACCTTGCACCCCTGGGATCCCATATGGGCACTGGTTCTAATCCCGGAAGCCCCGCTTCCCTTCCAGCTCCCCGCCTGTGGCCTGGGAAAGCAGTCGAGGACAGCTCAAAGCTTTGGGACCCTGCACCCGCATGGGAGACCTGGAAGAGGCTCCTGGCTTCAGATCGGCATAGCATTGGCCGTTGCATTCACTTGGGGAGTGAATCATGGGACGGAAGATCTTTCTCTCTGTCTCTCCTCTCTGTATATCCGCCTTTCCAATAAAAATAAGATAAATCTTAAAAAACAAAAAAAGAAAATGACAGTCGCCACTGAACAAATAACCTACCAATAGTGACAGATATTGTTCTCTGTTGATATAGTTGAACCTATAATTCAACAGATACAGTGTATAAACAAAAACATAAAGCTTCAGAAAATTTCCAGAGATCTGTAGATAGACTCATTTTGGGATGGCCAGGGAAAAAAAATGTTATCTTGAGAAGTATTGACAAAAAAAGAGCAATGACCAGTGCCCTGACCATCACATCCTCCTCCTTTCTCAATCCTTCCTTCTATAGGAAATAAAGTGTAGAATAATAGCATATTACATGCTTTGTGAAAAACAGATGATTGTCTGAAAAACCCGTGTTTTTGGCCACACTGCGTACCCAGCAGTCTCAGTTTATGATTCTCTGTAAAATGATGGTGATAGAACTAAGAGACTTGAGACAGGTAAACTGAAATTGCTTAGTTAACCATTACGGATCATAGGAAAGCATGCAATGATGCCCTGGAGTATATGAAACTCCATAATCTTCAGACCAGAGAATGAGCTATAAAGAGGCCAAGAGTTCAGAAATATTCACAAAGACCAATGAAATGAGAGAGAGCTAGAATAATTAATACTCTAGAATTAATTTAAAGGACTTAGAAGGCCCATCAAGTATCAAATTGGAGCAGAAATGGGGACACAATAAAAGTAAATGGAGCTGGATAACTGCACAATGGTTGAATTGTTTCCTAAGACACAAATCCATTTTTAATTGCCTGAGCTGAGTCCTGGTTCTGCTTCCATTTCAGTTTCATGCTAATAAGGATGCAGCAGATTATGGCTGGCTCAAGCTGGTTCCCTACAGCCCTCATGGAGACCCAATGGAGTTCATAGCTTCAAGCTTTGGGCTGGCCCAGCACCGATGGTGGGAGCATTTACAGCGTAAACCAATGGATAGGGAATCTCTGTATCTTTCTGTTTTTTTAATACATTATATATTAAAAGCAAAGCATTATACAGCAGTTAAGTTCAACAATTATTATATAGTACAGTAAAAAAGATGGCATGGTAATGTTGAAAAAATAGCCAAACAGACCAAAATAGCAAAATAGAAAATCCATAGGCGCCAGCACCATGGACAAAGCCTCTGCCTGCAATGCTGGCATCCCATGCAGGTACTGATTCCCGCCCTAGCGACTTCACTTCAAGTCCAGCTCCTTGTTAATGGCCTATAAAGGAAGCAGAAGATGGCTCAGGTCCTTGTACTTCTACATCCAGTTGGGAAGCCCCAAAGAAGCTCCTGGCTCCTTGCTTCGGACGGACCCAGCTCTGGCTGTTGCGGTCATTTGAGGAGTAAACCAGCAGATGGAAGATATCTTTCTCTCTCTCTTGCCCCTTCAGTCTGTGTGACTGCCTTTTCAATAAAAAATTAAAAATGCACTTAAACAAAAGAAAACCCAGAAACAGACTCATACTAATACAGTCATCAATTGATATGTGACAAAGGAGCAAAGACAACACAATGGAGGAGATAGTTTTCTCCAAAAATAATTGTGAAACAATTCAGGAACCTCTGGCAAAAACGGCATCTATGTACCTACAGACCTTACATTCTTCTAATAGGAGATAGCAGTATCCCAAGCAGCATCTTATCCACTACAGCAAATAGTTGAAAGTTATTCCTTGGTATTAACTCTACCAAAACACTGTCAAGTTACATCAGCAAAATATGGGGCCCATATGATGGTATAGCAGGTAAAGCTACCACCTGCCATGCTGGCACCCCATACAGGTGCTGGCTCATGTCCCAGCTGCCCCATTGTTGATCTAGCCCCTAATAACTGCCTGGCCCAGGTTCTTATGTGCCTGTCAGTCCTGTGGAAGACCTCAATGAAGCTCTTGCCTCCTGGATTTGGCCGGCCCTAACCCTGACCTCTGTCTGCACTCTCCCTTTCTCACTCTCCAACATTCAAAAAAATCTAAAAACAAACAAAAAAGTCGCTGTACAATATATGGTCATTAATCCCAATATCAAAGCAACAATGAGAACTGCAATATCACATAATGACCAGGTAAAAACATTAGGTGCTTACTACTAGAAAATTAATCCCTCAGACTGGTAATTAATATAACCATTTCTACTCTAACAATTCATATGCATTTTTACCTTAAAACCATAAGTACTACTGCTAATCGGTTACACAGTTAAAGAAACAAAACAAAACCATAAAACCAAGGGTCAGAGAAACAACAAAGCATAGTGAGGCAGAAAGGAAGCTGGGTACAGAACCTATGCAACCTGAATCCAAAGTCCATATAGTTCTTTAAATTTTTAATTAAGGTTTAATAAACCTTAAAGAAGGTTTATTTGTGGCTTTATCATTTTTAAAAATGTTTAATTTTTTAATTTTCTAATTTTTTAAATTTTTATTTTTCATGAAATGGTTTCTTAGGCTCAAGGATTTCCCCTTCCACCCTTTTCACTCCATTTCCCATTTTTCCCTATAACAACGGTACAGTCCTTCAACAACAGTTACAAGTCCATCATTCTTATATCACAATGTATCTTCATTTCACAGTATGTTTAAAATAAGCACATCCCAAAAGGACAAATATCAAATGTTCTCTATGGTATAGGCAATCTTCATGCAAAATCCATGTACTTATTACCGTTAACTGCTTTCTCTGTCAAAATTCTGAAAAGCATAATTAAAGTGCTCACTATAAAAATTTACTTTAAAATGTCTCTTGATAACAAGGATATGTGGCATAGTAGCTAATTCATGAAATCCTATGTTAGAGTCCATGAGTTCAAGTGTCAACTCCACTTCCAATGCAGCTTCCTGCTCATGCACAGCCTAGGACACAGCAGTGGATGGCTCAAGTAACTGAGCTGATGTTACCCAAACGGGCACACCTAGACTGAGTTCTGGGACCCTGGCCTCAGCATGATCCAATCCCAACTGCTGCAGGTATTTAGAGAATGAACCAGTGCATAAAAGATACATCAATCTTTTTCTCTTAGTGACATCAAATAAATAGCTTTTACAAATTTATTTGTCTTCTAAAAATAAATATTATTACTTCATATCTTTAACTTGAAACAAAATAGGATAAAATTTCACAGATTTTGACATTTGCTCATTCACCCAAGTGTTAACATCAAAAAAACATTTTTTAAATAAAACTGTGGCTAGAATTATACTCTTTAAGTGATCATTTCACATCCTGATTTTCATGCTGTTAAATTCATAACATATTACTAATCTTAGAACTTAAAAGCTCTTATTCAGAGTCTTTCATTTTTTGTCTAAATGAAATTACGTGCTTTTAGGGCACAGTAATTTGCAACTTGGGAAGCAAATTTTGTATATATCTTAAGGCAATCTTCATTAAGACACATCCATGCCCACACATAATCATCCTTAAACTCACAGAGGAACAACCTTATGCATAAAACAAGAAAATATCAAATTGGTACCCATGATTTATACAATGATAAAATTACATCTTAACACTTGCAAAATTTGTTGGTCTAACAAAATATTTCATAATTTTTGGCTAACCTGAGAAAATGCAGATAGTAACACCACAAGTTATATGGAATGTTCTGCTTTTATCCAGCAATCTTCTGGTTCTCCTGCTTGGAACCTTAAAAAAATGAACATGGTAAAAGCAATATATAACAAGATATATGTACAAAATTTTCATCATAGAAATCCTTATAATTGCTTATAATAGCATATTACTTTAAATCCATATAATTGCTTAAGAAAACCTTTTCAAATATCCGTGTTACCCAACAGTGCCTTAATATCCCTTAATATTAGTGAAGAATAAACACACTTCAATGTACACAGGAATAATTGAAGATCCAATGGAATTCAGGTTGGGTTGAGTTCCAATAATGCATGTCATAGTGGGGAAAAACTCAAGGACCAATGTCGTTCCTAGCTCTGACATTTACTGACCTTGTGATTTGGGCTGTTTCTCAAACTCAATGTTTCATGTTTCTCAAGTATAAAACTGCAATAACATCTGACTGCAGAATCACTGTGAGGATTTACAATTGGGTATGCAGAATGAGGGAACAGAGCTGAAACCACTGTTGATACTTCTGCTTTTTTCCCTTACTGTCCAACAAGCTCACCTTGACAACTGCTTCGAAGCAATTGTTCCAGCCAAAATCCAGGCCCCAAAACTGAGCAGAACAGGTAAATTCTAACACTTGATTGTTTTGTGCTGGAATCTGTGACCTAGATTTTTCTTTCTTACCTTCTGGGATCCCCGAAAGTAAGCCAGGAGTGTTCGACACATGGGCAAAAGGATGAGGCTGCAGTTGAGGTTAAGAACAGATGCGGAGGCTCTGCTTAGACACAATCCTAGCTGAACAAATAAGGCAAGAGTCAAAACACTGTAGAAAGCAAAATAAACTGTAAGCATCCTAACATCAGCATGTTGCAGATCTCACCCTGCTCTTCCTTAAGGATTATGACAAATGCCATCTTTTCTCAGCAGTATTGAATAAACGCATTTCTTCTCACTTAAAGGCCCTCAAGAAAATCATTTCTGTCTGCTCTACACCACCATAAAGCTTAGCACTCTCATTCCCACTGGTGTTATAATCATTTAGTGCATTCTTCCAGTGCAAGGTCAATTTCCTGTTTTGTCCTCACTGTATTCTTTGGGGTGTTGAGAACCTGACAGTCTCAGTATATTAGTCACCTTCACACTATGCGATGTTATATCCTTTGTGTACTGATAAGGTTACACGAATTTTAAAAGTTTTTTTTTTCACTTGCATTCTTTCATGGAACCTTCTCAGCCTCTATACAATGAAGCTCTTTCCTGATCCAAAATTTGGAGACTCCACTGTTACAAGTGTTCCCATTGTTTTCTATATTTGCATCATAAGAATTGGCAATTGCACATCTTTTAACAGTATTTTCCATCTTAAAAATTTGAATTTTTTAAAATTGCATACATTTGGGGGTACAATATGGTATTGGATTATGTGTATATGTTGCAGAATAACCACATCAGTCTAGTAAAATACCTATCACCTAAAATACTTATTGCTGGTGAATATTTGATGTCTACTCTTTTCACTATTATGCAATATAAAATACATTAATTATAATCCCCGGATTGTCACCAAAACCCATTTATGTTGGGGGATGTTTCAGAATGTTGATGCTTTCAGTACCATTTTTTCATTTGGTTACAGCTAATTTAAGAAATTTCAGAATTGTATGGAAGCATATGAACAATGCACTTCTTATTGACAGTTTAGTGCACTTTGTTCAACATAGTAAATCCAATTCTGTAATTCTAAGAAATATTTGATATTATCAGCACCATTCTCCCTTAAAAAAAAAAAGACTACTTTATTTGAAAGGCAGAATTGCAGAGAGAGAGGAGAAAGAAGATCTTCCACTTGTTAGTTCACTTCCCCAAATGGCCACAATGGCCAGAGTTGCACCATACCAAAGCCACAAGTCATGAGTTTCTTCCAGGTCATTCACATGGGGGCAAGTACCAAAGCATTTTGGCCATCTTCCTTTACTTTCCCAGGCACAGTAGCCTGGGGAAGGATTGAAAGTAGAGCGTTAGCAGGGCGATGGACTGTGCCGGGCCCTGTACCTGCTAGTACATACAAGAATCTGGTCTGAGAACACCTCAGACAAAGTTTCCTTGGAGATCTCCCCAATCGAAATGCTGGACTCAGAACACTAACCAAGAAAAGAGAGGACAGAACAGGTCAATCAACCATCCCAGCTATATGTTGGCAGTGAAATACGGGGCAAATGGAGACTCTATGATGGACTATGTCAATCAGTGGATTCTTCAAAGACCTCATAGGGCTTGGAGTGGCAAGATTGGCAGCGATTCATATCTGGTCAACTATCAAAACCACTTGAGCAAGAACCTCGGAGCATGCCATACATCCAGGACCTGGGGAGGGTGGGAAATTGGGTGGGCCTTCTCCCTTAATACCCTCCTTTAAACATGAAGGAAACAATATGAAAATAATAGTCTTACCCACTTTCCTATGGCCTTTGAACCTTTTTACCCTAATTAACTATGCAAAGATTGTCAAAATATAATTTAAAAAAATATGAGTTAAAAAAGAAAGTAGAGCATTAGGACTAGAACCAGCACCCCTAGGGGACACCGGTGCTGCAGGAGAATGCTTAACCCGCTTTTCCCTGTTTGCCATTCATCAACAAAATGAAGATTTAAGTTTTCTGTCTGCAAAAAAAAAAAAAGTATTCTTCCATAATGTGAATGACCTTGGAAGTGGATTCATATATAAGTGGCTTGGGTCACCCTCCACTGCATTCCCACACCATTAGCAGGAAGGTGGATTGGAAGTTGAGCAGCCTGGATTTGAACTGGTATCTGTTCAGGATGCCATTGCCATGGGTGGAGGAGTAGCTTGGTAAACCACCACACTGGCCCCTATGTCTGCATTTCTGATTCAGCTTTTAATTAGTATATACCTAGAAAAGGCAGCACGTAATAGCTCTCAAAGGGTAGGTCTCTACCACCCATATGGAACATCCAGACTAAGTTCTTGGTTCTAAGCTTTGTCTTGTCCCAATCCTAGTTTTGGCAGGCATGTGGGGAATGAGCCATTTTTATGGACAGCTACATACCCACACTCACACCTACACACTGACACATAGTGCGAGAGAGGGGTAGAAAGAGGGAGATCTTCCATTGCTGGGTCAATCCTCCAAAGCAGGCAACTGCCAGGATTAACCAGGTCAAACCAGAAGCCAGGAATGCATGTCTTCCATATGGGCAGCTGGATCTCTAGCCAATGGGATGTTATCTGCCGCTGCTCAGGTGCCTTGGCAGAGCCGACTCAGCCTTAGAGAAGGGAAATGGGAACTCTGATATGAGTGTGGGTATCCCCAGTGGTAGCTTAATCCAGTGTGCCCAAAAGCATGCTCCAAACCGTTGTCCTCAGTCACTATGTTTGCAGTAACATGTTAAAACAGCAATACAGAACTAAAATACTGAAAGAAATCTCTACTTACATCATGTCATTCTGAGAAACTTCATGCCTCATAATGTAACTTTTATTCCCAAAGGCCAGTATGGGATATAAATATTTATTCTAATTCATGGTGCCAAATCATTAAAAGTAAAGAATTTAAAGCCAGACAGGTCTTTTATGAGACACTCAGTCAAGTAATTTAGTATCTGTATAAGCCTGACCAAGTTATAAAATCTCACTCTAATGGGACATAAAGCAAGTATCAATATATTTTAAAGTATGGTTCTTACATCGATCATTCTGACAGCACAATTAACATAGATATGAACAAAAATCTACTCTCCAATAATTTTTTTTAAAAAACTGTTAAATTTGAAACTTAAAATCGAATATTAGAAAAACAAGTAGGGTCTAGCATGGCAGCCTAGTGGCTAAAGTTCTCACCTTGGATGCACAGGGATCCCAATGCACACCAGCTTTAATCCCAGCAGTCCCACTTTCCATCCAGCTTCCTGCTGTAGTCTGAGAAAGCAGTGAAGGATGGCCCAAACCCACGGGACCCTGCACCCACGTGGGAGACCAAGAGGAGGCTCCTGGCTGCTGGCTTCAGACGAGCTCAGCTCTGGCCATTGCAGCCCGTTGGGGAGTGAATCAGCAGATAGAAGATTTCCCTCTCTGTATATCTGAATTTCCAATAAAAATAAACAAATCTTAAAAAAATAAACTAATCTTAAAAACTACTGAAAATTCTAATTAAAAATAAAAAATAGGAAATAGCACTGATTCACCCAAACAGAATACAAAAAGATAAAACAGAGTTCATAGAAAATCCCAAAACCCTATAAAAATTAATAGAAATTTTAGGGAGAACACACTGCAGTGGCTAAACATATTTGAAAAAGCTGACTTGTTATATAATAGCCACAAAGATGTTAAATTATTTTTAAATCAAACAAAAGATATATAGGATTTATATATAAAAGTAAAAACAAGAACAAGAAATAAAGAAATGGCCTGAACAAATATATGGTATAACTTTTTTTTCCTATAGGAAGATTTAATATTCTAATGAGGCCAATCTCTCAAAATTAATTTTGAAATATAAAGCAATTCTAACCAAAATGTCAAGAATTTTCTTCAGGTAATTTGGCAAATTGATTATAAAATGTTCCCAGAAATGTAAAACAGCAAAAGGGAACTAAAACGTCATAAAAAAGAAAGATTTGCTTTCCACTTTACACAATATTTTTTTTAAAAGATTTATTTATTCTTATTGAAAAGTCAGATTTACAGAAAGGAGACAGAAGAAAGATCTTCCATCCACTGGTTCACTGCTCAAGTGGCTGCAATGACTGGGTTGGGCTGATCCGAAGTCTGGAGTCAGGAGCTTCTTCTGGGTCTCCAAGGTGAGGTACATGATCCCAAGGCTTTGGACCATCCCCCGCTACTTTCCCAAGGCACAAATATGGAGCTGGATGGGAAGTGGAATAGCCAGGACACAACTTTTTTATGATCTAGTAGTAACTTACATTGTGTTTTTGAATATAGATAAATGAGGCCAATAGAACAAATAGCGGATCCCTAATGAAACTATACGTATATGAAACTATATGATAAAGATGTCAACCAGATTAGGGGGAAAGAGGCTCTTCAATAAAGTATTTCCATACTATTTTTGCATATGGAAAAAAAATAAATCATGTCTACTTCAAACTATCCAGACGTAAGTAACTAAATGTCTAAGGACTTACAAATCAAATGCAAGATGAGTTTGTGACTTTCTGACACAAGCACAAATGAGAATATCTCAGGATGTAAAAACTTCAAAATTAACAAAAACAAGCAATACAGTAAAAATCAGTCAAATTAATTTTTTATTGTGGCAGAGAAATGAGGAACCCTAAATGCAGAAACTATCATCTCTTACACAGTGAAGAAGAGGAAAAGTACTTAGCTATAAATGATCACTCCACCTCCAATTCTCGGCTCAATTTTGGATATTCATCACATTATAAAGGGCATAATTAAAATTTGTTTATAAATAAACAAAATTCATGTATAAAAAGTATGGTAGCAATGTGTAACTATTAGTAATTAATTTTATCCATTTAAAATAAACAATATTCTCTGAGTCTCCATGGAATACAACATCCCAAGTAGCCATGCATCCTTCAAGCTAATCATAACCATACTGCAACCTGTTTTCAAAGAATCCATTTCCTTTAGCATTGATGTAACTAATTTTTCTGGTGTTTTGGCATTTTGACAACAAATTTTAAGCAAAGCTCTCATCTATTGTCTAGTAGCATTTTTATTCCTTTTGTGAATCATAAGCAAACAAAACATGAGGTCACATCCTTACACTTGTCCCGGAGTAAGC